GGGACACAGACACGGGGGTGCTGGGGACTTGCCCTGGGGGGTGGGAGGGGCCAGGGAGGGGTCAATGGGGGAAAAAGGATTCATATCTAATACTTTAAACAATAAAAAAAAAATCCATGGTTGAAAAGTATTTTTCGATCATGAATAAGTAGCACGGTGGCATATCTATTTTGAGAACTAAATATTTATCAGATCACTAACATGCTATGCATTTGAAAGACAATAATTAGGAAGTATTACTACATTTGTCAATCGATATTTTCTCTCAGATGAACCATTTTTTTCATAGTTGAAGACACTTTTTTCTGAAAAAGGAATACATACTCTTTGTACAACACCTGTAAAATAAAGAAAATGTAAAAAGAAAAAAAAATTGTCCCCAACTCCACTAAAATTGAGATTTCTGGAAGTCTTTTTTCTATGTACGTATGTATACATATAAATGTACATTTTTTTCACTTAATTATATATATTGTGTGAGTGATGTATATTTTTCCTTTACCATTATGGAGTGAATATTTTCCCATTTTTAAGAAAAGAATGGGCTCAATCATCCTGATATAAGATGTAAGCATTGTTGCTGATTACTACACATTTCAGTTCAGATTGTAGAAACCTTCATGAGAAATTTAAGAGGAGTAAAGTGGTTACATTACCTTTCCATCATGAATATTATTTACTAGAGGCCCAATGCATGAAATTCATGCAAGAGTAGGCCTTCCTTCCCTTGGCTGCTGGCACTGGCTTCCCTCTGGCACCCAGGACCCAGACTTTCCTTTGGCCTCTGGCAGGGACCCCGATACTCGGGCTTCCCTCCAGCTGCCGGCAGACATCTGGGACCCGGGCTTCCCTTGCAGCCCCAGCTTCATTTGGAAGGTTGTCTGGAAGGATGGCCGGTCTAATTAGCATATTACGCTTTTATTATTATAGATGATTATTGTTCTTACCCATCTCCATTTCGGTATATGGAATGAACAATTTCTGCACAACTGGTTCTAAATCTTCTCTTGCTGTTTTTGAAGATGTGCAAGTCAGATGAACCAGATCTGTTTAAAAAGAAATATTTTTAGTTTCTTCTTACCATGAATTTCACTGAGTACTCATATTCAAGGCACTAAGCTGTTTCCATGGGAAACAGAGAGTTGAGCAAGCCATGGACCTCAGAGAATGTTAGGGTTAGAGAATATCATGTACCAAAAACAGCCCTTCACAGATATGAAATACTGTAGCCTAATGCACTTAGAATTCCTAAAGGCTTACACACAGAGGTAAAGGAAGGATGAAAAGGTCTATGTACTGAAAGAAAGGGCTAAGGGGACCCCTAAATGTGAGAAATTCTTATGATCCTGGAAAGGGCTTGGGAGGGATAGGATAACGGCAGAGAGAATATATTAGAGAACAGTACATACTGAGAAATTCCTTCCCCCAAAACACCAGTAGAAAAATACACCCACTTCTTTTCTAAAAGTTTATTTCAGACTGCTAGATTTTAAAAAATAAAAACATAAGAAGATAGTTGAAAGTTTATCTATGAGCGCCAACCTCAGGATAGGAATCTTTTTATTAAAATTCATTCCACATTCAACTATTCTGTCTCTATATATCTAAGCATAAATTGAGGGACTCTTAACCATGTGTGCTCAAATCAAATTTTGTAGTATTTATTTTTTTCAGATCTACCAAAGTAATTGATATTTTAAGAGAGTTCCTGTCTTATGTACGACCTAATAAAAGATCTACCTTATTTAAGGAATGTTTTTGCATAAATTTAACAAAGATTCCCATTGGTTCTGGGATATTGTAGGATGTATGGTACTAATTATTTCAAAAGGTATAATAACCTTCACAACGAAATTTTTCCTAATTAAGTTATATTTTTCAAATGCTATATTAATTTAGTGGGAGGGAGTTTAAGCTCTTCGGATAATTGCTGAATTGAACAGAGTATAGAACTACAATGGCAGAAAGACCTGATATAACACTCAAGAGAAACTGTCCTATCATCTCATCCCACAGTCTCATAAAATATCTATGTTCATGTCAAAGTTCTCATTTTTCCAGTTCTTTCCTATTCAACTAATGTATACTAGTAAAAAAGGAGATAAACATAAATATAAATTTATAAAAATATATATTTAAAAAAATATCTTAATGATAAACTCTGGTTCTGTAAAACAGGATACATAAAAGAAATACACTGGCGCAATTATATCCTTTGTTTCCTAACAATATAACAAAGTTCAGGGAGTGCTAGCAAAAATTTCTAGTAATGGAGTCAGATAACCATCTTGTACTTAAATAATTTTTATAATAATTCTTAGAAAGAAAAATTAAAGAAATTCATAACCTGAATTTTAATATCTATACCTTGATTTCACATTGATGCTACCTTATTAATTTGTCTATAAATTTAAGATATAATTGGCCATTTTTTCCCCTACTCATCTTACTTTTCCTGTTGCCTATGTTACTTCCTTGTATAGATTACTCTGAATTCACTACTTCTTTTCAAATCAGAAAGATTACAGATTATGTTATTTAAAAAATTCAGATTATTTTCAAAATCGATTTATCAATCTTCATGCCTCTTGTCATTCCTTTGTAAGGTCAAGTTTTATTGTCAATTTTTCGCTTCTTTGTCAGATATAATTGTCACAGTGTGCATTCAATAAATATTCCCTTTCATAGGCAGACATTAAGTACTCATAGGCTTAAACAGACACATGTATGCCCACAAATCTATGTATGCATACACATGAACAGGGAAAATTTTCCTACTTTCTTATATGAAATGTAGAAAATTATCTAATCGACCAGGGTAGAGGTAAGAAAAGTATAAATGGATAATCCTGAAATTATTTAAATCTGTCTGAAAAATGTTCACAGACATTTTAAGATGTGCCTATAAAATTCTCAAGAGAATTTAAAAGATTATGTAGAATTGACTGTATAGCTAACCTACATTTGTCAGACACTATTCTAAGCATGTTAGAAGTATTATTTTATTTCACCTATGCAAAAACCAACTGTGATACTCACTTTACAGGGGGGGGAAAACAGAGGAACACTAGAGTTAAGCAGATTTTCCAAAGCCAAGCAATTAAATAAAAGGAAGAACTGGAACTCAGACCTGGAATTCAAGCCAACCTGGGCTGCCTCTAGAGCAACCCTGGGCAAACTATGGCCCGTGGGCCGGATCTGGCCCGTTCAGCTGTTCTATCCTCTATCCGGCCCGCGGAGCTGAAAGAGCGGAGGGTTCTCTTGCTCTCCCCTCTGCTCCTTCACCAGCAGCAGTGTTAACATGGCAACGTCCGGAAACACGGCCACAGCTCCTTCTTCTGAGTCCAGTTTAAGAACCCTTTGTGGCCCTCAAGTCAAAAAGTTTGCCCACCCCTGCTCTAGAGTGTCTGGTGTTAGTCACGAAATGATGTTGAGTAATTATAATAATCTGTCCACGGTGCCGCCTGCCACATAAGGCAGGGATCATAAAACTAAGATGTGTACAAAGATACAAGAGGACTTTTCACCAGGTATAAAAATCATAAGGATGTCATTGTCCAGATGCTCAACCATAGCCTCCTTCCACTTTATTAAGCAATGCATTTCCATATATTTATTTTTGTTTAATGACCCTTAATCAAAATTACAATTATCGTTTGATCAATTTTATACAAATAATAATTGTATTGTTTAATCCAGAGGCTTACTGTCCAAGAAAATTTTTTAAAAATTACATTTCCATTTTTTTTAAATGGGTGATAATGGGCACCAAATACCTCTGGTATTTAATTCAACTGAATACATTTTAAAAAGTGATATTATAGTTTTACTATTACATTATTAATACTTATAAATTTAGAAACTACATTCTTGGCAATTATTTGATTATGATGAAAAATTGTGTATTTCAACTTATAAGTGTTCAAGGGGTACATGATAAAAAATTTAAAGGCCTAAGGCATTAAGGTAATCACAAAATGAAACATATATTGCCACATTTCTACTAAAATTTAACTTTGTATAAAAATGCTTCTTTGCATCCTGCAACTTTAATTATTTTCCACAGGATTAACTTGCTCAATAAATGCTAAAAATAACCACAAATTAGATCAGATGGGGCAAGCACTTTCCTAAAAATATTACATTCACTAGTACCAATTAACACCTATTACTAAGATTTTGAAGATGTACTAGAAGTGGAAACGTTACTTACTGGCATCATGTGAAATTATAACTGACTCAAGAAAATATTTAAACCCTGACTACCATTTATAAACTATGTTCCTTTTAACTCGTTTAGCAACTGCTTGAAGGCTTAATGGGCTAAAAGATAACAAAATGTGTTCTCTGTCACAATTCCTCTGTCGGCAATATACTTAGATTTTTGTTGGCATTATAGAAACCTTGGTGCAAAATAAGATTTAATTCATAGAACATAAGGGTAATACTTGAAAAAACTTGGGTGAAGTGCCAGTCACAAACAGCATCACTGAAACAAAGAGCATCTGATGTTCAGAAGTATACATCATCAACACCAAGCTAGAAATAAGAAAACACTTTCAGTTCTCTGAAACTGGGTTTAGAATAGTGATCTGTCATATAATAAGCTACTGCTCTCTTAAAAGTTTTTTTTTTTTAATTAAACACAAGAGAAGTAGGATTTCTACTCAGAATTTGTATAACAATGAGCACATTTAAAAGTAACAAGTCTAATGTACAGTAGCAGGGTGATAGACTAGAGAATGGTTATGCAGATCTAGTGTGATATTGCTCTCTGTATGTACTTGGGCAAGTGAGTTTACCTCTCTGGCCTAAGCATCCTCATTATTAACTGAAAGGGGTGTAATTAGTTTACCTATAAGACCTCTTTCTAGTTCTAAGGTTTTATGACTCTAACTCCCTTTTCATAGGCCATGCTTCTTTCAATGATGACAGATTTTAAACCAAAAGCTGATGGCATTAGAAGTGTGAGTGTAAAATTAAGTAAATGCTTGCTGAAAAAAGCAGGAAATCTATTTCTCACGCTTCTGAGATTATCACATAGAGTAGTCATTTTACTCTGTGTAAGTAGGCATAAATTGTTCCAAATGCACTTAAAGAAACTATGTGTGGGCTAGTCAGCAAATGCATTTCTTAGTGCGACCTAACTAGGAACATAATTTGTGCAAATAGGGATCAATGTGGCTCATAGCTTGTCTTTCATATAGGCATAAAGGCCAAATGTAACTCATGTAATATAGTTTAGTAAGAATATATGACTATGTTAATAAGATAGAAAAGTTCAGAAACACATTTCCTTTATGACACCAAGTGAGGAACTGAGTTTGATGACATATGAATACACAATTTGGTTTTTGAATCCACCCATGAAAAATTCCAGAATAACTCTAGAGTCAGCTTGTACTTTTGCAGTAGAATTTAATGAAAAACACTGTTAACGAAAAAAAACCATTGAAACCTGTAAAGAATTTTTGTGAGTTTATTTGAGCCAAACTGTCGACATATGCCGGGAAGCAGAACCTCAATGAATTGAGATAGTGTTCCGGAGAATGGAGGGGTTACATTTGTATTTATACATTTGCAATCAAAGGAGGATGCAAAAAGACAGATAGGCTCAGTTACGGTAAAGGTTGACCTTGTCAGTGAAGATACTGGCCTAGGACGTAACTGCCCACCATAACTGCTTTTAGTTAAAGTTTAATTTCAGACCATCCTTTGTGGTTATTTTAGGTCTCTGAGTCTGCTAGGCTGCCACGCAGGCCTTCCCTGAGCTTGTCAGGTCAGCATGTGGCCCCTTTCGTCCACAACACCTTTGAATGTCAACTTGAAATCAGGAAGAAAAAATAACTTTACTTGTAAAATCAAATCTGTGCATTGTGACACTACTAATAAAAATAATTTATATAGACACATTTTCAAAAACAAATAAAACAGACACCAATGACTGCTTCAAATCATTATGTAAACTCATTTCTATGAAAGGCATATAACATTTTCCTTATAGGGCCATAAAAGCAGAAAAGATTATAGGAATCAGTACCTACAT